TTCTTTTGTAGCTCAGGAGAATAATCTTGATCGAAGAATATCCTCTTATCTTGAAACATCACCTGTCCTTGGCTCCATGCTTGTTGCAAAACAATGTCCTTTACTGCAGCGTCCAGGAATCTCACGATGATTGATCTGGGGGGCGCCGCTGGGTTTGTTGGTCTGGTCTGGAGTGAGCGGTGTGCTCTTTCAATTTTAATGTCCAGGTTAGGTGGCAACCTCAACACTTTGGGTAGCAAGTCCTTCACAAACTCAGCCACATTACCTTGTTCACTCATCTCTGGTATTTGGAATATTCGAAGGTTGTTTCTTCTCAGCCTGTTTTGTAGGTCGTCACATGCATCCGTGAGTTGTTTATCACGTTGAAGCAGGTACCGTAGCACGCGATGCTGTCTTGCCCCCGCATCTTCCACTCCGCTCACTCTCCCTTCCAGCTCGCAAATCCTCTGCTGATGGTCACCAAGCTGCCCTTTAATATCAGTCACAGCCTTTTCCAGGCGCTCAAGGGTCTGTGCAGTTTGTTTATGCCCCTGAGTATTTTCTTCGCGGAGTTTTCTCATTTCCTCTATCATCAGAGACTCGGCATCGCACACCTTGTGGCTAGTAGCATTTAAGCCAGCGCTTTCCGAGCTCGGTGTTTTATCGCTTCTTTCTTTCAAAGTCCCCTGTTTTCCGTATCCTTTGTTCCTCGAGGACGAGGACATCTTGTTCAAATATTGATTTCCAATCTGAAGACCTTAAATATCTATAGTTGTCACAGTTTTCTAAGTTTTTCTGACGGAGCTTTGTCTCTAACCTGTTGTTCTTATCATGACGTCACCGGAAGTTGGGTTTTTTTTTTTTTTACACACAAGAGTACAAAACTTACAGTTGCTGGAAGAGCAAACTACACCTACTCGTGGTTAGGCTGCAAGGAAGGTAACTTAAAGTGTCCGGACCAAATTTGGTACTACCAAATCAGGAACAGTAAAAAGAATTTTTTACAAAACTCAGCTCAATCTAACTAAAAGGGTAGTAACTAAGGGAGGACACCAAATGTGCTAATACTAAACTCAAATGAATAAACAGGCTGGCAAATGTGACAGCCCCACCTAGTCTGTGGTTGGACACATTGGCTGTCTGTGTTTGGCTGCTCAGGTCCCTAGACTGCTGGAGACTGAGTGGGCGGTCCTACCTGATTGGCATGCTCGGGCCCAGCGCTCCCAGGTATAAAAAGGGCCAACCCCTCAGCTCCTGGCTCTCTCTCTCTCTCTTCATGCCCGTGATTTGTGGTTTGGTTCGTTTTTGGTTTGGTTCTCACATCAGACAACACATCACATCCAGACATCCGCACCCACACTACTGACATCACTGACTTACACACCTCACTTTGACTAAATTAATTTAACCAATTAATAAAACTTTGTTAAAATCTGACAATACCTGTGTCGTCTCCCCTCTTTTGCCACAACCTATTTGCCGGGTTGTGACACAAACAAGAAAGTTAACCACAGGGCTAACGCTACATACGGACGGGCAGACTAAAAGGACTTAAAGCTGTTAGCTACATATGGACAGGCTGAATAAATGCAAACTCTAAGATTAGCACTACAAGTAGGCAGACCGACAAACTGCTAACTCTACAGCTAGCGCTACATACTGACCAACAAGAAAACAGGCTAAGGAGGCTGACTGAGGTACCACACTAATGCTGTGTTCACACCAGACGCAAGTAAAATCATTCGCGCAAATGACTTACATGTAAAGTCAATGTGAAGACGCGATTGGACGCGAGTAAACATCCCATGGCGCGACTCGCACGATAGACACGAATTAAGCGAGTTTGAGGCGATTTAGATGCGCATAACACGCGATAGTTGAAAAATTGGAACTTTTGCGATCTGACGCGCTGCGGTGACCAATCAGCATTGAGATTCTCTGGTGAAGTCAACAACATGATTCATTCATTTTTTGCAACTACACTGTTAATACTGATTGATTTACTCACCCCAGGAGATAAGCAGCCACATTACTGGCCAGGGCGGATCTCAGCACTCAGCAGACGGGCTGTCCCTCTCCTCCAATTCACACACCAGAATGATACTCTTCAACTTAGCAAGCTTGCAAGCCGAGTTGCTAGCTATCGCAATGCTAGCGGGATAAACCTCCGCTGGCTCCTGGTCGCTGTGGTCAGCATCCTCCTGCCGGCGGCCGCTCGTCCGTGTTGTTGTATGTGGCACGGAAAAAACATGGCTCTATGTAGGCGAGCGCCTGTAGTTAGTATCCTGGAGGGATATCCTGGTACCGCTCCTCTCCAACAGGGAGTCAAACTGGGTCCGGATCAGCCGAAAACAGCGCTGGAAGCGGCCGTCATCCAGGTGCAGCTCCTGGAGAAGGTGGAGGAACTCCCTGAGCTGTGTGGGTCTCTGGGGGGTCCCATGGATCCAGCGTCTGGATCGCGTCAGTCGTGCCAGTACCTTGAATTCAGACACAAATCTTGATGCGCGATTGACGCGATTTATACGCGCGAATGAAGCAAGTAAACTCAGTGCACACACGTGTCCAAATACGCGCGTAACGCACGAATAGCGCGATGAATTCGCGTCTGGTGTGAACACAGCATAACAACGACAGACCTGACGAGAGCCGGACGAGAGAGAGGGGAAGCAGGGAGGAAGGTGTGGTAGTGGAGAGGGATTGGCGTTGCCGCGGCTGCGGTGGAGAGGCAGGTGGAGAGGCAGGTGGAGACCAGGAGCGGACGCTGAGGAATCCAGGGAGGGGAAGGTGAGCGGAGCTGGTACTGGTGAACAGACGGAGCCGTAGTGGTGGAGTAGCGTCGGGCCTGATGAGCTGACGAGAATGGACAGGTGGCAGGCAGGTGAAGGAGGATCTGGTTCCGAGTGGCAGGAGTCGCCGGCAGATGGAGTGGTTTGGTGAGGATGGCAGATGATCCGGGCTGCAGACAAAAAGGCATGATTAGTTTTGTGACCGATAAAACGAGCTGAGAATAAAACAATTGAGTCAGGACTGTTTACGGTCCGACGACGAGTTGTGGACTGAGCGTGGCTTAAATGCTGGTCTCTGGATGAGGCACAGCTGCAGCAAACGCACGCCTGCGTAATCAGCGGATTGAGATCACCTGCCCGTTCTCTTCATTCACTGCACCAGATCACGCCCACCTGGTTAGAGAGGAAAGGGAGAGCGAGAAAGGAGGACAGGAGGGAGAGAGAGCGAGGACTGCCGCTACCTGGCCCTAGCAGCAGCGGACGTGACATTTTATTTGCCTGACGAACGCGTTTGCCTTAATGTGACCCCCTAAACTCGCTCAAAAACTCACCAAAATTGGCACACACCTCCGAATCGGCGAAAAATTTGATAAAATGAAAAAAAACAAGAAAAGCTCTCAAGCGCCACCTAGTTACAGAAACACACACTAAAACGGCCCTAGCACCCAGTAGGAATGTTGTACAGAGATCAAACCAACACCAACACGTTCGTCTCAATGAGACCCACAAATCTCGTGCTGACACCCCTGTCCTATCTCAAACAGGAAGTCCGCAATTTGCCTTTCAAAGTAAAAAAAACGAGTGGAAACATCTGTTGGGAAAAAATTATCTTATCTGACACCGTAAATTGTATCAACTTGAAAATCGCACAGGAGACAGAGAAGGCCTTGATGTACAAAAGTTCTGAAGGGATTTGGCGTTTCTCAACCGGTTTTCGAATGGCGAGCCGTTAAAGTTGATGAGCTTTTGCAGCCTCGGCTCAAACTTTGTATGGGTGTCTATGGGGGCATATGCTGACATGCTGTGACATTTGGTCATCTACACAAAAAACTAAAGGTCCTACAGCTTTTAAAATGACACTGAAGGCTTCCTAACAAGATTTCCCACAAAAATATGTTGTTTTTACACATATTTGGTGAAAATTGTGTCAGTATGGAAGAGAGAAACGGAGTAAAACTCTCAGCTCTCTCAGCCAGGAGCATGAAAAACGCTGAGTCATCATGACATCATCACAGCTCAGTGCAGCTGGTCATGTGACTCACTGACAGTCTGAGGCTGAGCAGAGACAGAAAAATGGCTCCTTCAACTTAAAGCTACATATCTCTAAAATCGTAGGAGATAGCAACACTATGAAAATTGCCTATTAGTATGTCAGAGTGTAGTGAAGTTGAATAAATTGTCAAAATGGAGGTCAGACGGGCATGAGGTTGCAGCGCAGACCGAGGACCCGACAAACGCTGCTTGCAGCTTTAATTGTTTTTTTGTTGTTCCTCAGGAGATGGATGTTGTTCCTAACTAAAGCCCAAATCTGGAACAGAGGACATTACAGGGCGTGTGTCCTCAGATGATCCAGAAGAGTGAAGAAGTTGGTCGACGTGCCGCTTCCAGATGAAATGATTTTTGGTTTCCACAGTGTATGACACGGGGCCCGTTTTTGCGACAACTGTTGCAGGTTTCCACTTAATGCCTTGTGTGTAGTTCCGAGCGAGCACTTTGTCTCCAGATTCAAAACTTCGGAACTTAGCTCTTGCGCGTCTTTCCATTTGAGTTTTTTGTTGAAGGCGCACAGTGTCTGTTGTGTGTTGGGATCTCAGAAGGTCGAGTCGAGTGCGGAGTTGTCTTTTGAACATAGCTGAAGCAGGTGACAGCTTGGTTGTTGCATGAGGCGTATTACGATATGACAACAGGAAAGCACTAAGTCGCCGGTTAAGAGACTGGGAGCTTGGAGAGGATTTGAGAGCGTGTTTCATGGTTTGTACAAATCTTTCTGCAAGTCCATTTGTAGCTGGATGATAAGGTGCAGACTTGATATGCTGAATGCCGTTCTCTTTCATGAATGTTTCAAACTCCTCAGATACAAGTTGCGGGCCGTTATCACTGACAAGTTGTTTGGGCAGACCATAACGGCTGAACCTTGACCTGAGCTCCTCGATGGTTCTCTCAGAAGAAGTGCTTTTGATCACAGCGACTTCAGGCCATTTGCTGTGGGCGTCAACTACTACTAAGAACATGTGGTTCTCTAGTGTTCCAGCAAAGTCTATGTAGATTCTCTGCCATGGTTCTTCTGGCCAATCCCATGGATGTAAGGGAGCCAGTTGTGATTGGTTTCTCAGTTTCTGGCAGTCTGGCAGAACTTAGCTTAGCATAGCTGCATCCAGACCCGGCCACCAGAAATAGCTGCGTGCGATTTCTTTCATTCGCACATCTCCACAATGTCCAGTATGGAGCTCGCTCAGCACTCTCTCTCTCAAGGGTGGTGGAATGATGACACGATAGCCCCATAATAAGCATCCAGATTGTACCGAAAGTTCATTACGTCTCATCATGTAAGGCTGTAACTTTGGTGTCATCTCTCCTCCCCTTCCACGAATGACCATGTCCAAAACTTCAGAAAGAACTGGGTCAGTGCGCGTGTGTTTCTTTACATGAGCAGAGGTTAGTGGAGCAGCCGTCACTTCATTGAAATAGAAAATCTCAGCTTGAGCGTGCTCGCTGTACTTGGCAGGTAACGGGAGCCTTGAAAGCCCATCAGCATTCTGGTGCTGATCGGACTTCCTGTACTTGATCTCATACTGATGAGCCGATAAGAGTAGAGACCAACGTTGAATGCGGCTGGCTGCAATTGAGGGGATGCCACTGTGCGGACCATATATGGAGGTAAGTGGTCTGTGGTCCGTCAGCAGCGTGGATTTCCTGCCGAAAAGGTACTGGTGGAATTTCTTTACTCCAAACACAATAGACAGTGCTTCACGTTCAATCTGTGCATAGTTGCTTTCTGCTTTGCTTAATGTTCTCGATGCAAAAGCGATCAGCCTCTCTTCTCCTGAAGCCATTATGTGAGAAACAACTGCGCTGACCCCATAGGGCGAGGCATCACTTGCCAGTTGGATAGGCAGTTATGGGTCAAAGTGAGCGAGCGCCTCGGATTTGGTGAGGGCTAGCTTAACGTCTTTGAACGCCTTCTCACATTTTTCAGTCCATTTCCATTTTGTTGATTTGTTTAACAGCTCATGCAACAGTTTCAGTCTGTTTGCAAGGCTGGGGACAAATCTTGCATAGTAAGTCAGCAATCCAAGAAATGACCTTAACTGACTCATATTTGTTGGTGATAGAGCCTCCGCAATAGCTTTGACTTTCGATGGCGCCTTGTGGAGACCTTTGCTGTCAATCACGTCTTAAATACTCAACTGATGGGCAGAAAAACTCACACTTGTCCTTCCGAACTTTCAAGCCGTAGTCCTCCAGTCGTTGAAGAGTTGCGTCCAGATTTCTCAAATGGGTCTGTTCATCAGGTCCTGTGATGAGCAGATCGTCCAGGTAACACTGAACTCCAGAGAGACCACTCGGAATCTGATCCATTGCTCTTTCGAACAGTGCGGGAGCTGACGTGATCCCGAAAGGGAGTCTCTTGTACCTGTACAGTCCTTTGTGTGTCACAATGGTTAACAGCTCTTGTGACATGCATCTTTCTTGATCTGTCTCAAGGTAAGCTTGAGACAGATCAATTTTGTTAAACCTTTGACCTCCGGCCAGTCCTGAGAAAAGGTCGTCGATGAGTGGTAAAGGATACTGCTCAGCAGTTAAGACTGGATTTACTGTGACTTTAAAATCACCGCAGATCCTTGGGTTACCATCTTTTTTTATTACTGGAACAATAGGTGCTTACTGGTTCCAGCACTCCACTTGTCACTAGGCTATCCAACTCAGCCTCCACCTTTGGCTTGATGGCGTATGGGACTGGTCTAGCTTTTAGGCACTTGGGTGTACAGTCTGTCTTAACTGTCAACTTAACCGTGATGTCTTTCATGCTACCAAGTTCTCCATCAAAAACTTTAGGATACCTTTTTAGGATCTCATTCAGTGGACTAGTCTCTTTTTCTACAATCATGAAGACTTCATTCCAGTTTAGTCTCAACTTTTTCAACCACTTACGCCCTAAGAGACCTGGACGATTCCCAGACACAATGTGGAGCGGGAGAGTCTTTTCTTTGCCGTTGTGAGTAACCTTTACATCTACAACACCTAACACTTGGACGTGGCCACCTGTGTATGTTCTCAGCTTCAGCTTAGTCTCTTTGAGTGGGAGGTGTTGTAGTTTCTCCTTGTAAAGAACTTCAGATGCCAGTGATATGCGTGTACCTGTGTCAATCTGCATACGAACTGGTTTGTTCTCCAACAGTGATGTGATCCAGTATCCGTCATCATTCTTGTTGGTGATTGATAAGACTTGAGCTTCATCTGAGTCCGTGTCACAACTAATGTCATCCTGTTCATGTTCCATTTTATTCACGTTTCTTTATTTTCTTGTGCAAATCACTTTTCTTTTTTATTTTGTTCTGTTTGTTTGTCTGCGTCTTTTTATTTCTGCATGCACGTTCAATCTGGCCTTTCTTACCACAATTTCTACAGTCCAAGTCCTTGCACCAGCACTCTTTTGCCTGGTGTCCTGGTTTTCCACATCTGTAGCACAGTTGCCCAGATTCTGCTTCCTTCATGGGGTGCGAGGACAGTTTGTGCACTTGTGTTGATGCACTCAGCTGCTGTGCTTCTTTTGCTGCCATCTCCATCGATGTGCTGATTCCGATTGCCTTGTCCAGGGTCAAGTCGGCCTCGGTTAGCAAGCGCTTTTGAATAGCCTCACTGCGGAGACCACAAACCAGCCGGTCGCGTAATGTGTCACTGAGTGAAGGTCCAAATTCACAGTGCTCAGATAACTGCTTCAGTACAGCTACAAACTGTGAGACAGATTCGCACTCTTCTTGGTTTCTTTTATGGAACCTGAACCTTTCTGCTATAATCAGTGGCTTTGGTGCATAGTGATTCTTTAATACCTTCACTATTTGATCATAGGATTTGTCTCCTGGCTTTTCTGGTTGGACTAGACTGCGTAACAAGTTGAATGTTTTTCCTCCAGTAACACTCAAAAACGTTGGCACCAGAACTTCGTCCT